TTTTTTGTAATGCTATTCCAGGGCACCCCACCTCATAGGGAACAATGGATGTCAGTTATTTCCACATGTAACATATCCATAGAAACTAATGGATGTTCATTAAATTAAGGCACCCCAATTCCCATGAGATTTTGCAATTCCTGCAACTCTATCCGTTGCCTGTGAACAAAGCTAAAGTCTTACCGCCATGCTCATCCTTTATACTAGTTTTAAGTAACTTGATTTGTGCAGCATCGGATGACATGCACAAGCAAGAATTTGTCTATGTTTATATGTCATGGTAAACCATAGTTTGAATACTGTGAACGTGGAGATTGTACCTGTTTCACTCCTCCCCTAGCGTGAATGGGAGCAACAAGTCACAACATTGGCTTAGTGTTATGTCAAGACTGAGGGACGTGCTTTGTTTCACTCCAAAGAAATCACAGTTGGGAGGCAAAGAAGAAACCTTGGCTTCAGATCCCTGGTTTAGATGTAGCACAAAGCTAGGGATTGTGTGTTGTTCCTGCTTGCACTAAGGAAGGAGCAAAGTGAAAGCCAAATGGTGTTTTTATGGTAAGCCATTAGCTGTTGTTTACCATGACACACAAATGGAGCCACTGGTTCATTTCAAGGAGGGGAAAATACACCCACCCACCTCACACACATTTATTTCCAACAGTTCTGTGGGAGTGTAGTAGGGCTTTCTTCAGTCAGAACTCACCGGAACTGAGTTCCAGCACCTCTTTGGTGTGTTCTGGCACCTTTTTAGTGTTGTGGTGCCATTCCCTAGCATGCTGCTTGGGGCTGCATGACAGCAGAGGCGGTGGGTGGCCTGGCAATTGGGCGGAGGTTGGTTGCGTAAGGCGGCAGCTGATATTTCCTTGCAGCAGCGGGGTAAGTGGGCGTAGAAGAGAAGGTCCTCCCCCTGAAAAAAGCTCAACAACTACAGATTCTGTAGTGTGAAGCTGCATTTGGAGTAGTAGCTATTTTCAGTTGAGGAGTGTCTACAACATAAAGAAAGGTTGGGGAACCTTTTCCAGCCCATTGGCCAGATTCTGTGATGGATAACCTTTAGGGCAGGGATTGGCAACCTAAGGTCCATGGGCCACAAGCGGCCCATGGGAGTTGTTTAACCGGCCCACGAGCCAACCCCAAACTGAGCTGCCCACCCAGCGAGTCCCTGCGTGCTGTGCTAAACTGGCACAGCGTGGCATGGGGATTCGTTTCTGCGGCGCTGGAAATCGTGTCTGTGTGGACACTGGAAATCGCGGGCACACGGGCACGATCCGGCCCACGGAGGGATCTCCACTTGAATGAACCAGCCCAAGTGAGGTAAACCTTGCTGACCCCTGTCTTAGGGGGCAGGGGCTGCAGGCTAGAGGCCAAAGGCACTTGTAAAGAAGAGATGGATTCTTACCTTTATACAGTAGGTTATATTCCAGCCATGCCAAAGCCACACACACACACCCCTACCTCTGCAAGCAGCGTTATCAGAGCGCAAGGGCACATTCCAGCCAGGCAAAAGCACCCAAGGAGGGCATGGAGCAGGACCAGCTTGAAGAAGGACCAGTTAGGAAGACCTGATGGGTCACATAGGGCCTCTGGGCATGTGGTAAAGGGACATGCAGTGAAGCTGTAGTGGGAATTTTTGGGAATTTATTGGAGACCTTTGAGATCAGCAGCCTGGTCATCTTATTTCCTTAAAGTGTGGTAATGTAATTGACCACAGTTTAATCCTTGACATCACACCCACTTGTTCAGATGAGAAGTGATCATATCCCCCAATTCATTTTCAATGCTGAAGTGCTCAGGGGATATTTAGGTTTTAAGTGGCAGGCAACCTGCTAGGTTACTGAGTCGAGGGTCTACAGAGGAGTGTGGGAAGCACACAAGAGCATCAGACTTCATTATGCACCATCCATTTGACAAGGGAAGAAACAATAAATGTAACCCATGCCCGAAGGATGCGTCACTCCCTTGGGAAGAAAGCAGCAACTCCGTCCACCTCATTCCACCTGCATTTCATTTCACGCAACTGTCCCAGGCTAGATTTGAACTGGGGTTGTCGGCTGCACCTCTTTACCTGTAAGGAGGCTGACTATCCTTACTTTACCTGTAAGGAGGCAGCAAGCAACTGTCTCAATTGACAGTTTGACGAAGCTCCACTATTTGTACATAACCTAACTGATGTAAAGTATGTATGTAATAAAAAGGGTTTCTGGTGTTAGGAATGCATACTTTGTCCACAGGAAGAAGTTGCTGATTTGAGAAAAACGCCAGGGAAGGAGGGAATGACAGTTATTTGCCTATGGAAGCAGTGTAGGCATACAGGGCCAAATACCTCAGGCTAAGGAATGTTTGCTTAATTTTGTTTATTGATTTTGCATAGCAACCTATTACATAAATTGCAAAACTAAATATAAAAGGCAATTGGACATTGCCAGATCCAGGAGTAGTTTGAGGTAGCAAAGTGGAGCAACAGAATTTGGAGCTGTGCCACTTCGGACTGCAAGTGGGAGAGTCATATTTTTGAATGTTCCCCCATGTAAAAGGAAAGAAAAAGAGCTATCAGATCAGTACAGCAGGGAGCTGGGTAGGTTAATTTTATTTTTTATTTTTTTACTAGAGGCAAGTGTTTGTTTAAGCACATATTTTTTAAAAAAGTGTTTTACCTGCAGTCTGAAGTGGTACCGTCCATCATTCTGCCATGTCACTCTACCACCTCATTCTTGGTAATGTGTAGAAAAGCAACAAACTGACTATCACCTTTAACATATCTCGTTGCTAAAGGATTATAATACTCCCTTGTAAGGAAAAGCAACAGGCACAAAAATAAAGAAACAGGGAAGGGAAGGGCAGTAGCCAAGCTCAGCACATCAAAAGAGCAGGAGAAAAGGGAAGCAGATCAGATAGAATCCACTTTTCCTCACAGAGAAACAGAAGAATTTTATTACTGGAGTGTATGAACATGCTTTGTAGAACAAGTAGCCAGCAGTATCTGAGGCATGAAACTTATTTGGCAGCTGCAAGTCATTTCTCCAGCTTTGTCTTAAAAACGTTGTCCAACGTGTTTAAAGAGAGTTAAGAAGACAGACTGAAGTGACAGGCTTTTTGAAGCATCTTCCTTCCACATTAGAAGAGTTGTTTTTCATCCCAGTGCCATCACTTTAGTGGTAGTAAAAGGGCTTAAGTGGGATTGAAGTGGTGCCTGAGCCTTGTCTTGTGAATGTAACTCTCAGTAGAATGACACTAAACAGTGCAGGAAAACCAGTGAGTTGAGATAGTGGTATCTCACAATTAAGGCAACAGTGGCAATAAACTTCCTTATCTACCCCAGGCAAGAGAAGGAAGGCAAAATGTAGGTCCTTATTTCAAAATGGCTGCAAGCTGAGAAGCGGGATTTGCAGAACCGATTGGGTTCTGCAAATACAGGACATTTATTGGGTGCCATTTCCAAGAGGGTGATTGAGATGAGGCCTGCCTTTGCTTTGCCACCAAGTATATAAAGGCTGGTATGTGTTGCTGTAGAAAACGAGGTGGGTAAAGGAAAGCTGAGCCAAATTCATGGTAGATTATTAATTTTTATTATTTAAATATTATGTTAGCCACCTTTGGCAAAAATCCCCCCTGACGCCATTTTTACACCCCAAAACCAGGATGTTTCAGGAATTTTCCTGACGTATGGCAAGCCTAGTTCATGACAAATGCTTTACATAAAAAGAGGAAAGGATGGTGCATTTCAGAACATCTGGCAGAATTTCTTAGAACTTTGTGCAGAAAGCAGATCCCTTTCTCTTGTGCCGCCCACCCATCTACACTGTGTTTGTTTGTTTTTTAAATTATTTTAAAAATCCCCTTCCCCCCTTCCTTCTGTAACTGGGAAATGGGGAGAGGAATTATTTTATAGTAGAAATATCAAAAACTTTGAATTTAAAAAAACCTCCTTTGGAGGCTGAAAGGGACAGGGGAGGTCCATTGCATGCATGGAAGTCTGTTGTAGCAGCAGAGCTGCAATGTTCAATACAACCGCTAGATTATAAATGTAAGAATCCACTGGAAGGCAGTAGCAGTCCATACACATGTCAGTTATCAAAACTGAGAATTTATGTTAGCATCACTGATGATAGAGTCCAGGATGGGGAACCTTTGCAGCTGAAGGGGCCAATATTCTCTCGTGGAAAAGGTTCCTGTGCCGCCTACCAGTGATGGGCGTGGCCAAATGTAAAAATTGGGGGGGAGAAACAAATGCAACTCTTACCTTTATGTAATAGGCTGCATTCAAGCCATGCACAATTCAGAGGTTTCTATACACACCTTTCTTCATCAATGAAAGTAGGAAACGCTACTGCAGTTCAGGGACACAATTCCAGTCAAGCAAAATCACTCACGGAGGGTGTAGAAACACACTTTGTGTGCCCCCTACCCCCCAACTGCTATACTCTTTTTGCCCTGTTTGCTCCTTTCTTTCTCCCACATGGCTCTTTATCACCGACAGAACATCTATCCAGCATGCTACGCAGGTGCAAATGCTGAGAATGCTATAATGCTGAAACCTTGCAGGCTCCACCTGTAGCTTAAGTATTAAAGTAGGTCTGTAGAACAGGGAGGACTCTGTGAGCACCATGAAACAAACATCTCCAGTACTGATGACTGAAGCAAGATGTATGAAAGAGCTGTTTTTGTTTTCCATTGCATACGCTACATTTCTTTTGCCCCATTAACATCTCTAGTGATACAGATTTTCCCCTCCTCTTGGAACAGTATGAACATTGAAAATGGTTCTTTGGCCAGAAACAGGAAGAATATTAATTGTGTACCCCATGGTGAACAATGGCTGTATCACTCAGCACTTGAGGGGGGAGTGTTGTGTGCCAATGAGGCACAGAGAGAAAGTATACAGTTTATGGATTATAAAAAATTTTCTGTGAGTATAGTTTATTGCATAGAGTGTTTTTTGTTTATGAAGGGCAGAAGTGTGAGCAAGAGTCTAATTAATGATTTTGTTCTGTTTCTTCAAGCTTCAAGAGACAGTGAAGAGAAAGTTGGAAGGAGCACGCTCACCCCTCAATGGCGAACAGCAGAATGGAGCCTGTGACAGTAGCTTCTCCCCAACCAGCAAGCGGATACGGAAGGATGTACCTGGGATTGAGGGAATCAACAGCTTGCCCAATAATTTGCCTTTGCCTTCTATTTCCCCTCTTCACCAGCTTGACATAAAACCATCACTGCCCTTGCAGAACAGTGGAACTCATGCTGGTGGTCTGGATGACCTGGGTAAAAACGGTGGACTTCCAGAGATAAAACTCCCAATCAATGGATGCACAGAGCTTGAGGATAGTTTTAACATCCTGCACAACAACAGCAACAACAGCAAGGAGCTAAAACAAGAGCCCTTGGATGATCCTAGCTGCATGGACAATTCTGACACATCACTTTCAAATCAGAATAAACTTTTTTCAGACATTAACCTGAATGATCAAGAGTGGCAGGAGTTAATAGATGAGCTGGCTAACACTGTTCCAGAGGATGACATACAAGATTTGTTCAATGAAGACTTCGAAGAGAAAAAGGAGCCTGAATTTCCCAGACCAGCCACTGAGATTCAAGAGAGTGCGAGTGTTAAAAGTGACCCATCGCACTCTCCATTTGCCCATGTTCCTCTTGGGTCTCCCCAGGTAAGGCCTTCTTCTTCAGGTCCTCCATTTTCAAATGTCCCTACAGCATCTAGCATACCTTCTGTCTCTAGCGCGCCCCCAGCTCCACTCTCTGACAGCTCACCAGCAAATTGTGTGGTTCAGTCACCCCAGACTCCTAACCAAGCACATACCCCAAGCCAAACTCAGTCAAGGCCGGGTAATGGTTATCTCATTAATCCAACAACAGTGGCAACAGCTGCCCCGGGGCCTGGCCAAGTGGCTGTGCCCAGCACTGACTTATCTCCAGCTGAACAGCTTAAACAGATGGCAGCACAGCAGCAGCAACGAGCTAAGCTCATGCAGCAAAAGCAGCAGCAGCAGCAGCAGCAACATCCAAATCAAGCATCTAGTTGGTCTCCAGTGGGGCCTCCATCTAGTCCTTATGGAGCACCCTTCAGTACAGACAAACCAAATAGCCCAATGATATATCCCCAAGCCTTTAACAACCAAAATCCTGTAGTGCCTCCTACGGCAAGCAACCCACAAAAGACTACGATGAATAACTACCTCCCTCAAAACCACATGAATATGATCAGTCAGCAGCCAAATAATCTGGGTACAAACTCCTTGAGCAAACAACCCAATATGCTTTCTTATGGCAACACTAAACCTCTGACTCATTTCAATGCTGACTTGAGTCAAAGAATGACTCCACCGATGGCCAATCCCAGCAAGAATCCCATGATGCCATACATGCAGCAACAGCAGCAGCAGCAGCCCCAACAACCGCAGATGCAGGCTCAAATGACGCACTTGAGTGAGGAGCAGAAGCGCATGCTTATCATGAAGCAGAAAGGAATGATGAACCAGACGATGGCTTATGGAACACTTCCCTCCCTTGGTCAGGTAAGTGTGAGCAGATAACGCTCTTTTAATGACTTAATTCATTACTTTGTTGCAAAATCCAAGAGGGAGTGTGTGTGCTTAAGTCAAGGGTCACTAGGTACTTTTGGAATTTGAGAGTGTGCTGTGGGTGCCAGCCACAAACATGGCTGCCGTGGATGTATAGCGTGACACAAAATGGCTGCTGAGGTGAAACGGTAAAAGACAAAATGGGCGTTATGGGCTGTGGTATAGAACAAAATGGCTGCTACATCTTAAAGAGCAGGAAAATGCCACACTGTTCATTAGTTGGTCGATCACTATGGCATTTCCTTGTAGTTGTGGGGTGAGTCATGTTTGACTTGTTTGCCTTTGCTTTGGAGGGAAAGAGGGTTCTAAGTCCTTGAGTGATCTCTCAGGAGTGGAGAGTTGCTATGGACTTGCTAACGGATGGCCTCTTGTTAATGCTAGCACAAACCACTTTTACAATTTCAGAACAGTAAGTAATTTTCCTGAGCTAGCTGTGAGGCAAAGGCTGGCAATTCATGTGTCCATGTGGCAATGGTGTGCAATGGCATGTGTTTACTAGGTGCCAGTAGTGTGGCCAAATGAAAAAGGGCGAAGGGCTCCTGCACCTTTAATATTTGGATTAATATTTGGCTTGAGCTGCAAGCTACACCTGCTGAAATTTTCTCTCTCCACAACTATTAAAAGCAGGAGCTCTTGTCATCTCCTTTACCTGTCCACCTTATTTGCCAATAAAGGACAACCACCATCCTCTGCTCATGGCAGATTCCAAAAGAAAAGCCACTAGTTGCTGCCTGTACAAGGTGGATTGTGCTCCTGTCCTCATCCATGTACAAGTCCTCTTCCACGTCATTGTTCATTGTGTGGTCTATCACCTTAGAGACCACAGCTGTGAAAGTGAATAAGCACCTGCCCCAACATTGTAGTTATTTGCTTCATTGTAGAATACTGTAGTCTCATCTGCGAAATAAGAACATAAGAGGGGTGCAGTTTGATCAGACCAATGGCCCACCAACATCAGCATCCAGTTCTCAAAGTGTCCAGCCTGATGACTATGGGAAGCCCACAAGCTGCACCCAAGGGCAACAGCACTCTTCTTGCTTGTGATTCTCAGCAGCTAGCATTCAGATGCACATTGGTGCTTCTGGTAGTGGACACGGAGCATAGCCATAGCTGATAGCCTTATCCCCCATGGTTTTTGCCAAATCCTCTTTTAAAGTCGGTGGCCATTAATGCATATTGTGGAAGAAAATTCCATAGTTTAACTCTGTGCTGAAGATTTGGAGCATTTTCTTTTGTCTGCCCCAAATCTTCCAATCATCTCTGTGGGTAGAGAACCTTTCCCCCCCCAGCCTGATAGCAATGTTACAAGGCCTGTATGCCGGCAGTGGGCAGGGCTGGAGAAGAGTGGGCGGAGCAATGGATGTGACTTCCCCCTTCGTACACTGGGCCACATTCCAACCACACAGAAGTGTGTATACCCACTACACTCCTCTCTCCATTCTCCAGCCAAGCAAGCAAGAAGCACAAACACAGATCAAGGACACATTCCAGCCAGGCAAAAGCATTTGGGGAGCGCTCAGAGCAGGCCTGGTGAAGGGCGTGGCCAAGGAAGGAAGGAGAGTCCTAAGAGGCAGATAAAGAGCTCGGAGGGGGGCACATTAGGTCCCTGGAACTGATTCCCCACCCTGACTTAAAAACTTTTTTCTTTTTCTGAGTATGGCCAAGCAGGGCAAGCTTTGTGTTCCTGACAAGTTAAAAGATGATATTTAAAAAACAACCCTTGATTTTAAGGTAAAATGTTGATACAAGCTCAAGAAAGAAACCATACTTGTACCTCATAACCCTCTGCTCCAATATCTCATTTAGCTCACCTTCAAATGACCTGAGCAGAAATAGAACCCTAATGTTTCCATATTGAAAGATCTTTCCAGTCCCAGTGGGCCAATTTAGAGGCACACAAGAGAAAAGATTGGCTTAGGTGGGAAAGGTAAAACAGTAGCCTTCCATCTGGAATGTATTTCCCCTTCTTTCTCTTACTGTTTTCCTGAAAAATGTTTGTTGATTGACCTCCCTATGCAGTCAGGAATAATTGTTCCTCACAATGATGGGAAAAGATCTGCTGATAACATAGAGCTAAAGTCACAAAGCACTTTCTGTCCTCTTCTCCCTACATCAGGAAACAAAGAGAATCAAGGATGGCTAGAATATCTTACCTTACTTTTATTCTGTCCTTTATAGAAACAATAATAGGAAAAGAGGAAAAAATACCCTCCTTTCTTCTTTTTGAAACTGTCTCCAAAATGGGGGCATATCACTGCATGGTTAATATCTTTTATTGTGCTTTACTGTACATTTCTTCTAACCTGTACTCTCACAATAAACTTGTTGCTGTATGTATTTTAGAGCTGCCAGATTAAAAGCTACATAGAGGCCATTATTCCTACAGAGAAGCCGTCCCCAAACTGGTGCCCTCCAGATTTTTTTGGGACAGCAGCTCCCATTAGGCCTAGCCAGCACAGCCAGAAGTTGTAGCCCAAAACATTTGGAGGATTGGAGAAGGCTGCTACAGAGCAATGCAAGAGAGTTCATTCTTTAGCACTACGCCTGATCTAGAATCAATAGTTGCTTAGCTGTGCAGTTGTTTGCGGGGAAGGAAGGGAGCCTCTCTTTATGTGTCAAAAACCTGTTGCTCTTCATTTAGCTGATTGAAAATTGCATAATTGTTCCTACCAACAACACAGCCTGCGCTGCTTGTGTGGTATTGTGCAGGGCACACAGTCCACAAAGAAATGTGCAATACCCCACACTGTGTGCATTATTGAAACCTTCATTCTCTGATTCCTTGTTGTGCCCTACACATCTATGATACTAAAGTGGAGAGAGAGAGAGAGAGAGAGAGAGAGAGAGAGAGAGAGAGAGAGAGAGAATCCTTAGTGGGCATGCCTAAAGGGACATACGCCAATGCCACTATGACTATTGTCAGAGTAATGGGATTTTTAAAAATGAATGCAGCCAGAATGAAGTAAAGCCCCAGAAACAATGCTGTGATCACATACTGGGCAGATATTAGCAATCTTATATGGGACATGCTAGAGTTCCACGGCCATCTATGTTGATAGCTTATCAGAACATCTTAATGTGTGCCCCTCCTGCCGCACTGTTTTGTATGCCATGTTAGCGACATGAACACCCTGCAGAGAGATCAGTAGCACACAACCTTCATGTTAACATGTCAGTGAGTAGCTGGTGCTCTGGCTTGTTTTCTCGGCTTTGATGAGCTTCATTAATTATACTAAAAGAAAAGAAAGGTGTGTATGGCTGGAGAGAAACCCATTTAACTCACCGTGAATAGGAGTAATTGGACAGTTGGCAGGGTGTTAAATTGGTGGTCTAGTGAGAGAAACTAAAAAAAAAAGTGCATTATTCCTGCATGCACAAAAGGTGGTAGAAGTTGTCTAATCTCTTACTGAATATTGTTTCTCTGGAGTGCAGTGGTCATGACTCATTTCTCAGCTGAAAGCCTGCAATAAGTATTATTTGCATTGCCAAACCTCTGCCACCAGTGCTGTAAAGAACATAATCCATAGAAAATACAGACTCTAATGCTTCAAGTGCAGTGTTTTATGCTAATCCCAGTTGTGTTATAATGAACACTAGACAGTTCCTGTGCCTGTGTTGTTTTTTCAGCAGAGGTGCTGGGTATCAGGGGGCACCGTTGAAAGTCTCCTTGGTATACACAAGACCGTCAATGCTCTTAAAGAGCTCTGTGTATATTGACTCATGCATGTGACCAAGCAATGCTGCTGTCTCTATGCACTCCTTGTGTTATGAATGGTCCCTTAACAAAGTCTTTACTATTAGCACTGCACTGCAACCACACCATAGGCATTAACTTCTGTGACTATATAAAGGTAAAGGTAAAGGGACCGCTGACCATTAGGTCCAGTCGTGGCCGACTCTGGGGTTGCGGCACTCACCTCGCTTTATTGGCCAAGGGAGCTGGCGTACAGCTTCCGGGTCATGTGGCCAGCATGACTAAGCCACTTCTGGTGAACCAGAGCAGCGCATGGAAACACCGTTTACCTTCCCGTCGGAGTGGTACCTATTTATCTACTTGCACTCTGACGTGCTTTCGAACTGCTAGGTTGGCAGGAGCAGGGACCGAGCAACGGGAGCTCACCCCGTCACGGGGATTCAAACCACCGACCTTCTGATCGGCAAGTCCTAGGCTCTGTGGTTTAACCCACAGCGCCACCCATGTCCCCCTGTGACTATATAGCTCTGTGTAATTAACAGTTTTGGATCATAGGTGTGCATCTTCTTCAGTAAAGTGATGGAGATTTCCTGCTGTCTTACTCCTGAGCTGCAAAAGGGTGTGGAAGTGGAGTGTATATCCATCAAGATCTCCCTCTTCCTGTCACGTGCTGGACATACAGCTGTGCACAGTCTCTACCTCCATTTTCTCTGCTCCCTTTGGCTTAGGGCAGTGGTGTCCAAACTTTTTTCAAAGAGGGCCAGATTTGATGAAGTGAAGGGCCACGAGGGCCGACCAAAGGGCCGACCAAAGTTGGTCACCTTTTTTTAGGATTGAAGTTGTTGAGGTTTTTACCCCAGGAAATAAACTGCCACAGGGGCTGGATTAAACTGACTGGCAGGCCGCATTAGGCACCCAGAACGGACTTTGGACATTACCTGGCTTAGGGGGGTTATGTCCCCAAAAAACAACCAAGTCCCATTTTGTTTCAATTGAGATTTGGCCCACAGTATTTTAGCAGCAAACATGTACAGACATCCCTCCTCTGGAACTGTAAGGTCAGAGTTTTTTGCTCCCCCCTTCTCCCTACTAGTACGTGCAGTTGCATTACTGTAGTGATAGGCAACCCATTGGATTTGTTGTGATGTGTCAAAAAAAAGTTGGGGAGGGGAGAAGGAGAGCTTACAGACACCACTGAGAAGTCACAGGGTTCCAGGATTGTGAGTTTTAGTTTCATCTG